CGGTACCATTTAAGCATTATATACAGTGAGTAGTCGGTACCATTTAAGCATTATATACAGTGAGTAGTCGGTACCATTTAAGCATTATATACAGTGAGTAGTAGGTACCATTTAAACATTATATACTGCACAATGAAGAACCCATGATTGATAGTAGTTGAGTGTTTCTAGAAAAGCACGACAGAGTTATAATGAAACGCGTTTTTTTTTTGTAAATACATCAGCTATAGGCTACTGTGGTATTCCTCTTTTAATTAAATTCCCCACATTCTGGAGAATCCCACTGCTATTGATCAAAATATTTGCTTAAAAGAATATCAAAAATAATTGTATCCCTTCTATGTGACCAAGTGACAAGTATAGACTGGTATTTCATAAGCTTGTGAAGAAAGCAAGAAAATAAGCTCCAGTCTACAAGAAAAGGCTTTGATCTTGTCTTCTCAACACTAAAGATTTATAGCGGCTCTAAGCTGCAGCATCAACTATCTGTTAACAGCTTCGATATGTTGAAACCTTTAATAGAATTTGCTTGTGTCCATTTGACGATGTCTCATTTGTTAGACATTATATAACATTAGTTTTCTTTTTTCATAGAAGTGCACCAAGAAGCTAACATTTCTTCACTTATATTTTATGTAAGTTTTTGAGTCAGAAAAAAATAAATTGTTTTATATACAAATACTCGTGTACTTAGCACACTGTCCTGCATTACTATTAAGCTAACTTAAGCAAAAGATAAGTTCTGTAAATTATACAGTGTAAATCCCATTCGAGAAGGTAATTAATTCAACATGTTTCAACCACAATGTATTGAACATGGAGCATTTCTCTACTTCCCAAAAAATAAAGACAACCGAGAAGTTATTTAGAAAACAGCCAAAACAAAATTAGTGATCACCAACTTTGAGATTTGTACATATGCAAGGTACAGCTTATAAATCAAATTAATTTTCTGTTTTATTTGCTTCAGGTTATTACATATAATTTATGAACCTATTGTTTCGTAATGTACTTACCCGTATATACTGCTTTTATAACATGCTTACAAGTTTCTATTCTTTAAAAAGCGAAGCCCCCCAGTCGCACAGCGGATTTACAGCGCTAGAAACCTGGTTTCGATACCAGTAGTGGACAGAGCACAGATAACCCATGGTGTAGCTTTGTGCTTATTTTCAAACAAACAAATAAAAAAGCGAATAGCTTGTACAATGGTTCATAACAATGAAACTATATTAAACCATATATATGGAAAAATAAAGCAAGATCATATCACATAATGCTACAAAGTTAGGTAATAAAGATTACGTATTAACTGAATTAGACTTTTATGTATTGAAATTTAGAATACAAATATTTGTTCATGACAATACACATAGTTTGTATATACGTATACTGATTTTTTTAAAAACAAAATGGACAATAAAAGCACTAACTATAACCAGACTGTTTGCCGGTGTTTTCGTTCGACTTAACGTACGAAACATGTTGAACCCTCTTTATTAGAGTCAAAATTTAACCTTTAATATTATATTAATTACCCTACTTTTAAAAGTAGTGAAGTACTCCTATCACAAGTTTATTATTATTTCAACTTTAAAGAAAAGTTTGAGAAACAGAATTAGCAAATACAAACAAGAACAAAACATTGATATCCGTTTGATTTAAATATTTTACAAACTTTAGAATGCCTTCAACATGACAAGACATTGATATTTGATTTAAAGATTTCATAAAATTTAACCAATAAAGGAATAAGAAATTAAAGCAAGTATATTACTTATATCACTGGTGATGACTAGCTGCCTTCCCTTTAGTCTTAAACTGCTAAATTATGGACGGCTAAGTTGATAATCTAAAAGTGATCTTTACCAAAACGTCATGTATTAAACATTTTCGGTGAATGTGCACGTCTTATGCTTTGGTGACAAAGTTTTTTATTATGACATCTTCGAAGAGACTTCGGTATTTTAAACATATCAACCCAAAGGGTGTACACTTTAATATTGTTGCGTCATCGAGATCATATGATTTCCACGCTCTCTACTTTCTAGAACTATCCCGTACTTTGGCGAATGCTCTAGTATTTACTAGATATAGGGTAGTCGGGTATATATAAGAGGGGGACAACGTGACGCGGTAATGTAATGTGTGTATAGACAGTGAGTAATTGAACTGCAGTCAGAGAGCACGAGAGACGTTACAGTGTTTGTTTAGCGCGATTGTTGAAGTTGAGTGTATCGGTAAAGTTATATTCGGGAAGAATAAACCAGTTTTATTAAGAAAGGACTTGTGTCGCTTAAGTTTCGTCGGAACGAAGTTACGGAAAATCAATTAACAAACAGAGACGTAACAATATGTTATAAAATTTTAGAAACTTATCGAGATATACATATACACCAGCTAAACTACAAAGACGTATATTTAAATAATGTGTAATTTATCGCTGTGATGAAACTCTTGGTCTTCTGCATTGATCAATGTAATTTATTCCGATCCTTAAAAAAATGTAAATATGTTACCAAAAAGATTTTAGTGTTAATATACTGTAAAATGTTTATCTGTAGCTAAAAGTTCAGAAGTCGTGCTTTTCAGCGCAAGCGCATTTTGATTTCAATAGGCCATCTTTCGGGTGTTAAGTGTGCTTTTGTTGCAAGTTTTGAGTAGAGTGAGGGAATGGCTGAACATCAGTCTGCGCTGTTATTAAGGAAGCAATTAACCGGTAAGGTTTTATATTAGAAATAACTTTTTTCTCCTTTTCAGGTTCTAACTGGAAAATATTAGGGCATCAGATTTTTGAGTATAAACTATTTCAATTAAAAAGATAACCTCTATTTGTGAGAAATGAACCTGTGAATGTTAATACAACTTACAGTTATACTGTTACAGGCGTAATAGTACTCACTAGTAGTACTAATATCTAGTGGTTCCCTTAACGTTAGTGTCTGACGTCACATGGTCTCTCAAGTCTGAAGTGAGTTAAATAATGTTACTGTTAGGCCTAAATAGTATATTGTACAGTAGTAACAATTTAAGCCTTTTTTTCTTGCGATTAATCCACAATAAAACCTGTAGACTAATGGTTAATCGTTATATTTTAGATGGTTCTTCTATGAAAATCATCTTCCTTTTGACATAGAACTTTGGCCCAGTTTGGGACCAGTAGTTGCCTTAAAAATAAAAGTTAAATTATGTTTAATAAATAAACAAATTGACTTTAGTTAAACTTAAGCTTTTCATTCATGAGTTATTACCCAATCATTCACTGATCCAACCTATCATTATCACACTAACAGTATCAGTATCACAACTATTGAACTAACACTAGTGTTAGTAACAGTAACAATTAGTACACTGCAACTACATTATAATATATATTGTAAAAGTTAGTACCTAAATACTACAATTGTTGGTTAATTTGTATATTGCAAATATTTAGACTAAGAGTAAGAAAAGTAGATATCACTTCCATCTTTTTTTCCTTCATAAGTGAACTGGAAATATTAAAAGGTTCCATAAGTGTAAGAAAACTTCAATAAATTAAAGATCGGACATGAGAAAATTTGATTTTTTGTCAATTAGTGTTTAGAGTCAGAGAAAACTGAAAGTGTTATTAAAACAAAAGAATAATTACAATGTAAACAGACTGTTTTGTCTGTTTTAATTTTTATTTCAGATATTTTCTGTTTCCTAATCTGAGTGAAATGGTTATTTTGAGAGTGATGAGTATAAGCAAGTTTGTCTTTCATTAGTTAACATTTTAAATATAGTTACTTGTACTTATACAGAGGGTTGACCACATTATGTTGAAACTGTTTTCGTGCCTCACCATGCTGTTATATTCCATATTGGCATGTCTGGCAATGCTCTATCTAACAACCATGCATCTTGACAATAGCTATGCAGTATAATTTCCATTACAAAAGACTCTGTCATAAGCCTGTCATGTCTCAACTCTTTCAGCACGGGCTCAGTCCCACGTAATGACCTTGTAACCATTTTGTGCTTCTTATAGTTTTCATGCTATAACCTTTAAATTAGTAAGCGTACCTTTGTGAAATTTTGCAGATTATCAGTAAACATTATAAGGCTTTTGTATGCAAAATATTATATATATTTTTTCTTAAGTTTTAAGATTTATTAAGTAATGTTTTTATCTTGCCTTTTTTATTTTGGAATGTTGACTATCTAATATGCAAAGTAATTTTGATTTAAAATTAATTCTTCTATGCATCAGAAAATTTTCAATTTTCACATATAAATCTTTATAACCTCCAGATAATTATCGAACATTTTTATGAAAAACAATTTTATCTGTTATATTCACTATTGAATCTCTGTATGGGTTCAGTCGATTTGACTGACCTCATAACTACCACAAAAAATTAGGAAATAAATATAAATTATTCATTTTTCATTTGAGAATGACTACAAATTATAACATGAAAACACTGGAGGTCTGTAATCGAATATGAATACTTCATATTTTTAAGAATATGAAAATAAATATAGGAATAATTCTAAGTATACAAATACATAGGAATGTATTCATGAATACCTTCTCAGGTAATGTGGAATAATGATAAAACAGCAGACTATAAGATTTCAATACTTTTATTTTTCAAAATGCAATAAAGTTTTAGAACAAAAATACATTTTTAAAGGAGCCATATAGATATTATAACTGTTCATTGCTCTTTATGAACATCAGTTTCTCAAATGTCTTGTCAGTGAGGCAGCAGTGATCATGTCTGAGGGTTTTGTCTCCAATGCTAAACAAATGCTAATGGAGGGGGTGCTGGATCACTCGGGTAGCATTTGGCAAGCACAGATAGGGTAGAAAAGTTTTTTTCATTGATCTTCCAATAATCTAGAGGACTGCTTTCTTCAGAAATACAAGGACCATCGATGTTGGTGTTGATTTCTGTATCCTCTGAAGAAGAGGTGGCTGGTTTCTTGGAGGCAGCAAAGAAACTAAAGAGCTTACTTGTTTTGTAAGGTGTGGGGGATTTACAGTCGTCTTTTGGTTTCATGGTTGTAGGATTATTTGTTGATAAAACTTTCTTGACTTCTTATTGCAGAAGAATTTGATTGGTCTAGTGAAACACCAGTCATCGTTAAATCTGAGATCCACTGGTGCAGCAAAGCAGAAGAAACATTGTTGTTCATACTAAGTCAGCTGGTCAGAGATGAGATTGAATTTATAACTGGACTACATGCTGTCAGTCTCAGTCATCAGCCCATAAACATGTGTCACTACATAACTGGATGTAACAGTGTTCTGACCTTGGGTGAAATCTGTTGCCTCTTCAGAAGGTGTCAGTATTGTTACCAAATCTGCAAGCACAGTTCTGTCATGAAAAGTAAGTTTCAGTCTACCAGTGTCTAGATTGTCCAACTTCTCCTGGGGAATCTTCAGTAAAGACTTAATCATCCTAATTTCTGAGTTCCATCGTGATGGTGTTACTGGCTGAACTCTGGCCTCTCTCTCTCAAGTAGATTAGTTGCTTGCATTGACACAATGACTGATACCTTGTAAATTACTTTCAGCAGTGGTCCAGCTTCTTTCGTGTCATCCCTGACCACAAGCTGTAGTGTGTGTGGAAAAAGCAGAGATGATGTTCAGGAAGAAATTGGGATAAATTGTCTGCTGATTTAGATTCATTCAAAAGTTCATCTTCTGAGTCACTATATGTAGATAAGCTATCACCATCTCTTACACTAGGTAGTGTTTACAGTTCAAAACTAGGTCATGTTGAATGTGTTATCAGATGTCACATATGATACCTTGTTGTTGATATTAAAAGACATTTAATTTTTCATCATATTGAACTGCAATGTTATCAGCTGTGTGATGCCCCTTGAAATGCCAGCATAACTGTTTGCACTTTCAAGTCAAGTGTTAAATGACTAGTGACTCCAAAAAATCTGGACATTTGTCTGCTATTCCAGATTTTCACAGTAACATTGATATTGAGTAAAAGTTGCAGCAGAGAGATGGCTTTTTGTTGGACTTCATCAAACTTGCTCTCAATCAAAATTGTGGACAGGTAATTGCAACTGGGAAGAATATTCCGAAAATCCATGTCTGCCATTAGATCTTGAAAATATTTGGACTCTAACACTGCGAAAGGTTGCAGTGTACCAATAATAAAACTTACAAGTTTGTTAGTGATGTGCTTTGAAACAAGGGTGTGTAGATTTTATATATAGTTGATTCTGTACAGTATGCTGCTATTTTAGGCTGCTGCACCTAGGCAGAAGTACCAGAGTTAGATGTAGTGGGCAATTGAGCTTGCACACGATAATGCATGTAAATTTTATTTTAGTTGCATTGTTAGTTGCTCATGTAAATTTGTCATTATCTCTCACATAAAAAAAACTTTTTTAAATCATGCACACAACTTTACTTATTCAGTGCACGTGATGAGTGGTATTTTCATATTGCGCTTATACAGCTGTTTACTACTGTGGCCCTCCTGAAAATCTGCTAGACATGCTGCCCCAACCGGGAAATTAACTAAACAAATACTTTATACATATTAAACTTTTATTGAAGAAAAAAACATAATTAGATGAGCTGTATTGTGACAAATTAATTTGTTAATAGCTTTTGACAAATCCAATTCATCCACATCATTCTTCAGGATAAAGAGGCAAGCAAGATGATTCATGCAAGACTGTGGCATGGTGAGGTACAAGTAACTTTTCAGCTTCCTTAGAGCAGAAAACTATCTTTGAGCAGTACATGCAGTTGCTGGAGCCACCATATAGATTTTGGGCAGGGTGAAAACTGATGGACAAATGTCCTTAAGCACAGGATTTTTACACATTGCTTTAAAAAATAATGTAAGGAAATCTTTGAATCTGAAAAGTTCTTCGTGATGACACTGTGCACTTGTTAAATTTCATATTTCAGATAGTCCTTTGATTTTAATGGCACCAGGTCATCTTGATAAATGTCATACACTTCATCAATATCAGTTGCAGATTGCTTGCATAGATTTCTCAATCACTGCTAGTTTATGTAAATCATCTGTAGGATATCTCACAGAAACTGATTCAACAGCAGCTGCAAACACTGATTGGTGTATACTTTCAAATTCAGTTTCTACAGTTTGTGCAATGTTTGCACCTCTGTGAAATGCAGGCTCTTCAATACCAAAAGTATAGAAGTGGATATAACAGATTTGTGAAACTGTGTTGCAATGCCAGCATCCTGCAGAAGGGAAGCCATGCCTTTAATTTTTGAGTGGACAAACTGCATTGAAACTTTAGGTGACTTTATTAGAGTGTGCACTGGCTGAGTTATTGTAAACAGCTTCAACCAGAAAACACTGAACTTCTTTGTGCTATTAATAAACCCACAGTCTTGCACATGCACATTTAATGGCAATGCAGTATCGTTACAGGTTTCTTCTAGCTAATCCAACAAACTGCCATATTGAGCTACAAATGACATCACAGCATTGCCTTGCAAAACCCAGCATGTAAAGTGGCAGAAGGGGCATCATCCATTGTAAAACATTCGTATGATGCCTTTCTATGAGGGAAGTATTTAATAAATGTGACCACCTATCATAGAACTTCTTGTTATTCCAACAAGTACAAATGAGAACTTACAATATTTTGGACTATTTAGTTCAGTCCATGACCAGAACAGTAGCTGAAGGTACATCTTGGATGTTCATTTAAAATTTGTGTTGCTACTCCACTTTTTCG